GGGGGGGTGGAAATGGGGATGGGGGGAGGGAATTGGAATGGGAAGGGGTGGGAATGGGGATGGGGATGGGGGATGGGGATGGCGGGTGGGAAGGGGGATGGGGGGGATGAGGATGGGGAGTGGGGATGTTGGGGAGGGGGATGGGGGGATGGGAATGGGCCTGGGTTCCCATCCCCCCCCCGCCTCTCTTTAACCCCCCCCCCCCGTTTGTGCCCCCCAGCGCGGGGGGGCCGCGCTTGAGGCCGGTGCTGCTGCACCGCGCGGTGCTGGGCTCCGTGGAGCGCCTCCTGGCGGTGCTGGCCGAGAGCTGCGGCGGCCGCTGGTGAGGGGGGGGGGGGGACCCCGAAACCACCCCCAGGGCACCCCCAAAGCCACCCCATTGGGGGTGTGGGGGGAGGGGAACAGCCCCATGGCTCCACTTTGACCCCCCCATCCCTCCCCGCAGGCCCCTCTGGCTCTCCCCAATGCAGGTGATGGTGATCCCGCAGGCGCCCGACGTCGAGGGGTACGCCCGGGAGGTGAGCGGGGACCCCCGGCACCAGGGACGGCCCATGGAGACCCCATGGAGACCCCATAGAGACCCCATAGAGACCCCATAGACAGCCCATAGACAGCCCATAGGGACCCCATAGACAGCCCATAGACACCCCATAGACACCCCATAGAGACCCCATAGAGACCCCATAGAGACCCCATAGAGACCCCATAGACAGCCCAGAGAGACCCCATAGAGACCCCATAGACAGCCCAGAGAGACCCCATAGACACCCCATAGACAGCCCATAGACACCCCATAGAGACCCCATAGACAACCCATAGAGACCCCATAGACAGCCCATAGGCACCCCATAGACAGCCCATAGACACCCCATAGACACCCCACAGACAGCCCATAGACAGCCCATAGCCACCCCATAGACAGCCCATAGACACCCTATAGACACCCCATAGACAGCCCATAGACACCCCATAGACACCCCATAGACACCCCATAGACAGCCCATAGACACCCCATAGACACCCCATAGACACCCCGTTGACCCCCCTATAGCTACCCCATAGTCCCCCCATAGCCCTCCGATAGCCCCCCCCCCCCATAGCCACCCCATAGCCCCCCTGGTCACTCATATCCCTCTATCCCCCCATATCCCCCTGTCCCCCCATATTCCTATATCCCCATGTCCCCCTATCCCCCCATATTCCTATATACCCATATCCCAATGTCCCCCATATCCCCCCCATATCGTCCTATCCCCCCATATCCCCATCTCCCCCCATATCCCTATATCCCCATATGCCCCCCATAACCCCCTATTCCCCCATAACCCCCTCTCCCCCATCTCCCCCCCCATCTCCCCCCATATCCCCCCTATCCCCATATCTCCCCCCATATCCCCCCCCATATCCCCCCATCTCCCCCCATCTCCCCCCATATCCCTATATCCCCATATCCCCCCCATAACCCCCTATGCCCCCATCTCCCCCCATATCCCCCCATATCCCCCCTATCCCCATATCCCCCCCATAACCCCCATGCCCCCATCTCCCCCCATATCCCTATATCCCCATATCCCCCCATAACCCCCTATTCCCCCCATCTCCCCCCATCTCCTCCCATATCCCCCCTATCCCCATATCGCCCCCATAACCCCATCTCCTCTCATATCCCTATATCCCCATATCCCCCCCATAACCCCCTATCCCCCCATCTCCCCATCTCCCCCCATCTCCCCCCCTCTCCCCCCATGTCCCCCCAGGTTCAGGCTGTGCTTCGGGGTGGGGGCCTCCAGGCCGACCTGGATGCGGACCCAGGGACCACCCTGGCCCGGAAGATCCGCAGGGCCCAGCTCTCCCAATACAACTTCCAGCTGGGTAAGGGGTTGTGTGTGTGGGGGGGGGACCCAACCCCATACACCCCCCCCCCCCCCCCCAAACCCCCATTGGGGACCTGTTTGTTCAATGGGGGTTAACCCCAATCCCAATCCCCCCCCATTGCAGTGGTGGGAGCCCGGGAGCGCGCGAGCGGCACCGTGAGCATCCGCACGCGGGAGAACCGGAGCGTGGGGCAGCGGGCGCTGGGCCCGGTGCTGCGGCGGCTGCAGGAGCTGCGGGATGCGCGCGTGCGGGACGCCGAGCGATGCTTCTGACCCCCCTTATCCCCCCCATTAAAGCGTTGCTGCCCCATAGAGGGGAGCAGAAACACCCCCCCCCTCGCCCCACGTTGTCCCTGATGCGATGGGATGGGATGCAGGGAATATCCGGGGCCCTTTCCACAGATGTGGGGAAGATGGGGATTGGGGGAGCAGCATCCTCTCGTCCCCTTGCATCCCCCCTTGTGCCTTCCTCCCCATGGGGAGCCTTCGTTTCCTTCTCCCCCCACACAACACACATCAGCCCCATGGCCAAAGGCAGCGGGTGAGGAAGGAGGCCTTTACTGGGGGCTGGATGCTGGCAGCGGGGGGCCCCAGGAGGGCTCGGCTATGGGGCAGTGCAGGGGTAGCCAGGGCTCAGCCCTGACCGAGCCGGGCAGGGGCTCCGTGGGGCAGCTCCTCTGCGAAGGAGGCCGGTGGTGGCCTGGAGCTGCTGTTGAGCGTCCTATGGGGCTGCTCCTTGCTGTTATCCATCCCATGGGGCTGCTTCATGCCGTTATCCATCCCATGGGGCTGCTCCTTGCCGTTATCCACCCCATAGGGATGCTCCTTGCCGTTATCCATCCCATGGGGCTGCTTCATGCCGTTATCCACCCCATAGGGCTGCTCCTTGCCGTTATCCACCCCATGGGGCGGCTTCATGCCGTTATCCACCCCATAGGGATGCTCCTTGCCGTTATCCATCCCATGGGGCTGCTTCATGCCGTTATCCACCCCATAGGGATGCTCCTTGCCGTTATCCACCCCATAGGGATGCTCCTTGCCGTTATCCATCCCATGGGGCTGCTTCATGCCGTTATCCACCCCATAGGGATGCTCCTTGCCGTTATCCACCCCATAGGGATGCTCCTTGCCGTTATCCACCCCATGGGGCGGCTTCATGCCGTTATCCACCCCATAGGGATGCTCCTTGCCGTTATCCACCCCATGGGGCTGCTCCTTGCCGTTATCCACCCCATGGGGCTGCTCCTTGCCGTTATCCACCCCATAGGGATGCTCCTTGCTGTTATCCATTCCATGGGGCTGCTCCTTGCCGTTATCCATCCCATGGGGCGGCTTCATGCCGTTATCCATCCCATGGGGCTGCTCCTTGCCGTTATCCATCCCATGGGGCGGCTCCATGCCGTTATCCACCCCATAGGGATGCTCCTTGCCGTTATCCATCCCATGGGGCGGCTTCATGCTGTTATCCATCCCATGGGGCGGCTTCATGCCGTTATCCACCCCATAGGGATGCTCCTTGCTGTTATCCACCCCATGGGGCGGCTTCATGCCGTTATCCACCCCATAGGGATGCTCCTTGCCGTTATCCATCCCATAGGGATGCTCCTTGCCGTTATCCATCCCATGGGGCGGCTTCATGCCGTTATCCATCCCATGGGGCTGCTCCATGCTGTTATCCACCCCATAGGGATGCTCCTTGCCGTTATCCACCCCATGGGGCTGCTCCTTGCCGTTATCCATCCCATGGGGCGGCTCCTTGCCGTTATCCATCCCATGGGGCGGCTTCATGCCGTTATCCACCCCATGGGGCTTCTCCTTGCCATTATCCATCCTATGGGGCTGCTCCTTGCTGTTATCCACCCCATGGGGCTGCTTCATGCTGTTATCCACCCCATAGGGATGCTCCTTGCCGTTATCCATCCCATGGGGCGGCTTCATGCCGTTATCCACCCCATGGGGATGCTCCTTGCCGTTATCCACCCCATGGGGCTGCTCCTTGCCATTATCCACCCCATGGGGCTGCTCCTTGCCGTTATCCATCCCATGGGGCTGCTCCTTGCCGTTATCCATCCCATAGGGCTGCTTCATGCCGTTATCCACCCCATAGGGATGCTCCTTGCCGTTATCCATCCCATAGGGATCCTCCTTGCCGTTATCCATCCCATAGGGCTGCTCCTTGCCGTTATCCACCCCATAGGGATGCTCCTTGCCGTTATCCACCCCATAGGGGTGCTCCTTGCCGGTATCCATCCCATGGGGCTGCTCCTTGCCGTTATCCATCCCATGGGGCGGCTTCATGCCGTTATCCACCCCATAGGGATGCTCCTTGCCGTTATCCAGCCCATGGGGATGCTCCTTGCCGTTATCCATCCTTTCCTTCTCGCTCCCATGGGTACCAGTCACATCTGCCGGTGCTTCTTCGTCTGCCAGCTTCTTCCTGTACAAAGGGGGTTCCGAATCCCTCCTGGCTGGGGTTCGCTGGGACGGGGATGGGATGGGAAGGAGCCGGAGCTCCGAGCCCCGCCGTGGGAGCATCCCATGGGAACAGGGACTCACCGCTGCTGGAGCTGCGAGATGAGGATGCAGGAGACCAGGAGCCCCAGGAGCAGCAGCGCCAGCACGGCCGCGGCCGCCCACAGGAAGCGCTGGAGGAGCAGCGGCCGCCCCGCGGCTCCGGTGCCCAGCGGAGCCACCACCCCTGCAGCACAAGAGACGGGACCGGAGCCGCGTTATTGTGTGGGGCGGGAGGGACCCGGAGCCTGGCACATTGTCTGCATCCCAGCGTCTGCATCCCAGCATCGGCATCCTGACATCTGCATCCCAGCATCTGCATCCCCATATCTGCATCCCCGCATCTGCATCCCTACATCTGCATCCTGACATCTGCATCCCCGCATCTGCATCCCTACATCTGCATCCCCACATCTGCATCCCAGCATCTGTATACCAGCATCTGCATCCCAGCATCGGCATCCTGACATCTGCATCCCTGCATCTGCATCCCAGCATCTGCATCCTGACATCTGCATCCCAGCATCGGCATCCCCACATCTGCATCCCAGCGTCTGCATCCTGACATCTGCATCCCCACATCTGCATCCCCATATCTGCATCCCCACATCTGCATCCCAGCGTCTGCATCCTGACATCTGCATCCCCGCATCTGCATCCCCATATCTGCATCCCCACATCTGCATCCCCGCATCTGCATCCCTACATCTGCATCCCCACATCTGCATCCCAGCATCTGTATACCAGCATCTGCATCCTGACATCTGCATCCCAGCATCTGCATCCCCACATCTGCATCCCAGCATCTGCATCCCCACATCTGCATCCCAGCATCTGCATCCCCACATCTGCACCCCACATCTGCATCCCCACATCTACATCCCCACATCTGCATCCCCACATCTACATCTCCACATCTGCATCCCCACATCTGCATCCCCACATCTACATCTCCACATCTGCATCCCCACATCTGCATCCCCACATCTACATCCCCACATCTGCATCCCAGCATCTGCATCCCCACATCTGCATCCCCACATCTACATCTCCACATCTGCATCCCCACATCTGCACCCCACATCTACATCCCCACATCTGCATCCCAGCATCTGCATCCCCACATCTGCATCCCCACATCTACATCTCCACATCTGCATCCCCACATCTGCATCCCCACATCTACATCCCCACATCTGCATCCCAGCATCTGCATCCCCACATCTACATCTCCACATCTGCATCCCCACATCTGCATCCCCACATCTACATCCCCACATCTGCATCCCAGCATCTACATCTCCACATCTGCATCCCCACATCTGCATCCCCACATCTGCACCCCACATCTGCACCCCACATCTACATCTCCACATCTGCATCCCCACATCTGCATCCCCACATCTACATCTCCACATCTGCATCCCCACATCTACATCCCCACATCTGCATCCCCACTTCTGCATCCCCACATCTGCATCCCCACATCTACATCCCCACATCTGCATCCCCACATCTGCACCCCACATCTGCACCCCACATCTGCATCCCCACATCTGCATCCCCACATCTGCATCCCCACATCTGCACCCCACATCTACATCTCCACATCTACATCCCCACATCTGCATCCCCACATCTACATCCCCACATCTGCATCCCCACATCTGCATCCCCACATCTGCACCCCACATCTGCATCCCCACATCTGCATCCCCACATCTGCATCCCCACATCTGCACCCCACATCTACATCTCCACATCTACATCCCCACATCTACATCCCCACATCTGCATCCCCACATCTACATCCCCACATCTACATCCCCACATCTGCACCCCCACATCTGCATCCCCACATCTGCATCCCCACATCTACATCCCCACATCTACATCCCCACATCTGCATCCCCACATCTACATCCCCACATCTACATCCCCACATCTGCACCCCACATCTGCATCCCCACATCTACATCCCCACATCTACATCCCCACATCTGCACCCCCACATCTGCACCCCACATCTGCATCCCCACATCTGCATCCCCACATCTGCACCCCACATCTACATCCCCACATCTACATCCCCACATCTGCACCCCACATCTGCACCCCCACATCTGCACCCCACATCTGCATCCCCTCATCTACATCCCCACATCTGCACCCCCACATCTGCATCCCCACATCTGCATCTCCACATCTGCATCCCCACATCTGCATCCCCACATCTACATCCCCACATCTGCACCCCACATCTGCACCCCACATCTGCACCCCAAAGCAGCCCTGGCCACCAGTGGTGCCCCTGGGAGCTGTGCACCAGGAGCAGGAGCAGGAGCCGGCCCAGGGCACGGTGCAGGATGAGCTCCCTGCTCCCTTCCGGAGCCGAGGGCCGGGAATGCCCCATCCCGCTGCTGCTTTCCCGGATCTCCTTTGGGAATCCAATTCCAGGGGGGGGGAAGAGCCAGGACTCACAGGTGAGGTGCCAGCTGGGACCGTGCCCAAGGTGCTGCAGAGGATCCGGGAAGCTCTTGATCCTGCCTCCATCTGCAACCAAGCATCCGTGGGGCATCAGCACCGCGGCAGGGCACGGAATGGGGCCCACAATGGGGCAGGAATGGGGCCTCTGAGGGGGCGGATCCTGCTGGGCTCTCCTCCTCCATAGGGATCTGCGGGCACGGGAAGGGATCCAGGGCACAGCGGAGGACCTGGATACAGGGAGAGCTGATGGAGCATCCTAGGAGCATCCTTGCTGGGACATGGGA